ACGAATTTTCAAGAGTGCTTTTGTGCCTAACTCTCAGTGATGTGCAGGTATTTTTGAAAATTCTTCTATGTACCTATCAGTATATTTAGACTTCTAAAACACGTATCTCCCCTCTTCTTTAACTTTCCTGAATGCACAAGAAACGGAGTCATGCCTTCCATCTTATACATTAAAACATGTAGAGAAATGCAGCCTTCTTTCCAGAAGTGCTGAGCCACTACTGCTCAGAGAACGACCGGCAGAATCAGGCCTCTTACACGTGGAAGTCTACGGCACTCTTGCCAGTTTTCATCCTGACAGACGCGGGACATTTTCTTATACTGGATTTCTGTTTTACCTGTTTCTCCCTTCCCTGCAGGTCTGCGGCTCTTTGCTGTAACTTTCTGTGCATGTACGTGTGTAGCTGCATGTCTACCACCTACACTTTCTGACTTGCAGCTCCAGTTGTTAATCCATGTCTGGTTTTCTTCAAAAAAATATTCATCACGAATGTTTGACTCATTGCCTCCACAGCATTTCAGCTGCCCTGTAACTCTTTTCAGAATATACTTCTTCAACGCTAAGAACAGCCTGTTCCGAGTGATCCGGGAGGACTGCTAGCCAGTATCTTCCCTCGCTCACACACATGCGTGCCATATGTCTTGCTTGATCTGTGAGGTTACTGTGGCACTGTCTTTTTTACACCATACGAGACCGGCATCCACCACACATGTTGCCAGATGGATTATCTTAACTGTCTGCTAAGGGATTAAACATGCCAATCTCCAAACCTTTCTATCAAGCCATCGACTGGCCAAAACCCAATGGCAGACAAATCCTGATCAGTTTACTCGCGCAGCTGGTCCTGCTGAGGCCAATGGGCAAAATTCATCCTACCTTTAACCTTCCTGACTTTAATGTCATTACGCTCATCAAGGGGAAGTGTGATCCAGTGCAGTTATTCAGCAGGATAAGCTGAGCAAGTTCTGGCGCTTAATTTCCCCTTTAAGGTCCCTGTTGAGCCAAGAATTTCATCACCTATTAAGTCTACGGACCTGAGTGTTCCCATTGACTCCACTGGGAACGTTCGGATGGTTAAAATTAAGTGTGTGAGCTGATTTACGAGATTAAAACCAAAGTCCCTCAGACTGACCTACCAGTGCAACGCCAGCGTAGTCACTAGTCACTGCACTTCCTCAGGGTCCTTCACCTCTACCACAGATGGCATCTCCTACGGGCTCGAGAGCCTCCTCAGCTCCCAGGCAGCGGAGGGGTCTGCCACGCACAGCCCTTCTTGCCCAGCGGCTCCCCCGGGTTGGGGCTACCCTGGCTCTCTGCGGTCCGCGGTGTGCACGGGGAATGCCCTTCGCGCTCCCCGGCAAGAGGTAGCGCTGCCTTCTGGGCCCTTCCTGACCCCTGATTCCTGCAATCAGGGCTCCTGTGTAGTCGGCTGGCGTCAGCCCTCGCTGTGCCGTACACCCTTTTAGTCCTGTTGACTTTGCTGGAATTGCAGAGAAAACCGGATCCGTGGGATAAAAAAAAATAACAAGGTGCCAGAGCATATTTAATTTAGTAACTGATCTGGCTTCACCTAGGCATTTTAAAAAGCGCATTTAACTATTATCAGGTGAGAAACTATCAACTGCAGCTCACATCCTAATCCCAAGTAAACTAATGGAAAAATATCATCTACTTCACCAGTCCCTTTATTTTGTCCTTGCATAAAAAGTATTAACTTCTCTTTTTATCCTTAAAATGTACTACTGAAAACTGCTAAGATCAAATTCCTTAGTTTTTAAAACAAACAAACAAAACCAGATGGTTTTCAAAATGAACCTCTGGCCGCTACCCTGAGGAACTTACTCTGAGAAATATTCTTCCTAGGAGCTAATTTCTAATATAGCTCTATCTCTGAGTGCAATAAAGCTAAAAACGGCTTCATTTTTATTCTGTATTGACATTAGGCGGTGTTCTACAAGGTCTACCGCTGTCTTTCGGTTGCTCTATCTGCCATGTATTCATTGCAGTAATATTTTTTGAAACGACAAAAATCTAGTGTACCTTCATAAAGCAATAAAGGAAGAAAATCTTTTTTACACTCCAGTCTGTTTTTTTTTATTCAAGGTATGCAGCAAGGACCCAAATCTGCAATCCTTCTATTCACAGTACCTTACCTCCTTACTTGGATCGGTCAACATGGGTATTATCTCTAAGGCACTATTAAACATTCAATTATCACGACCTGGCCCTCAAGGAATATGTGACTATTGGCAGCTACAAAGTAAGCACCACTTCTCATTATCACAAGCTTTATGATCTACAAACGATACGGTTTTATTTTACCGAGGAGCGACAACAGAAAAGGCTTTCACTGATTTCAGCGGGGTTTAAATCTGCTCCAGAGTCCAATCCTGCCCCAATAACGTCTCAGCCATTCTCTCAGAGGTCAGTCTCCTTTTTTCACAATAAAAGGGAGCAAAAGTCTGGACCGCCCTGCCTGGCTCCCCTCCCAAGCTGTTGCCACCTCTCCCGCCCCAGGGCAGGAGCTGCCCCTCGCTACCTTTCCCCGCGGGTTCCCCGTGACTCCGGCGCTCGGCACGCAGGGTCCGGCCCTCCTGAACACCCACCGCCCACCTCGCCCCCGGATCAGGCCCGCCGCCTGCACCCGGGCAAGTTATTTGTGGAGGGCCGTTTACTGCGCAATGAGATTTCTCTCTGCTCAAGACCATTTTTAGCTGTCAAATTAAGCATCGTGAAACAGCTCTGCGCTCTTAAACACTCCGGCGTCCTCCTGACTCGCGCTCTGATACTCTTAACAAAACGAGGTGTATCTCCCTGTAAGGAACAGCTCCAGAAAATTGGTATATTCATTATCAGACTGGAAACACCTTGTCTTCAGCCATTAACTTTAAGGGAAGTCGGCAGACCTCAGTGCAACAGGAACACAACCTTATTTGGTTTCAAACACGTTTTTTACAATACTGTGTCAGGAAAAGCCATTAGGTAGAGTTGTATTGGTAATCCGAGCCATCTTTTGAGAAAAACAAATGCTGGTCTTCCCATTATAGACAGGTATTGTTTCAAAACCTATAGAGACACGCTTGCTTGTGCTGCAATGGTATTTATTGCACATAGACCAATTACTTACACAGTAGTAAATTGCACCAGAGTATAAATATGCTATAAAACACACACAGAGGAAAATGAAAATGACACACAAGTGCTAAAATAACAGCCGATTCACGTGGGCACTTGGAGATAAAAATAATAGAAGTCCCTAAAGATATTTTAACTTACAATATGGATATATTTACAGTACCTTCATAAAATAAAATAATATAAAAAGTCACTCTCTCAATAAAACTATAACAGATGGGACAAAACCAGGAATCAGTTTCAGTTTTGATGTTATTTAAACCTCTGTTTCATTTTTAATTTGTTGCGTGTATGCGTGTGCAAGTAACATCCTCAGATAACCTTACAACTCTTAACACTGTGCAAAAAATGGCTTTGTCGCCATTTCTCTTTAAATGTGCAGTAAATTTTTGTTGTGGCCAGGATTTTTTTTCCCTGTTCATCTGTAGTTACAATGAACAAACTGCAGAAGGCTTGTTGCCCCTCCCTTTTTAAAAAATACTACTAGTGAGACATAAATAAGCTGTTTAATATAAACATGGTCCATTTATTCCCCTGTACAATATGCACAGCTTGAGGTAGAAGTTTCTCAGCCTGACTGCTATTGTCTGGCCAAAGAAGATAAGGACAATAATTCACCGGTTGCTGCTGCAGAGGGAGAAAGCAGAGAGGGTTTTTTTCCCCCAACCCTTTCAAAATATATCTGTGTTCCTCATTAGTAATTTTTTCTCTATTTCTACGCTGTATAACAGGGGAGCGCAGCTACTAAGAGTTTCAAACCAAACTTGCCAGAGGAGGAATACTCCTTGCCTGATCTGCGGGAGCGCAGGAGCACCTGCAGTTCCCAGTGACTTCGGTGGGTTTTTTAGGACGCGCACGCTTTGCTAAAAACCGGCCGATTTTCCTGTGTGCGTGAGAGTACTCCTGTGGCCCTCAGAAATAAAAAGTGGGGCATCTGACAGTCCTAAGCAAGGTCGGGAACAGCTCGGATGCTGCCCACAACTGGAGCCAACGGCCAAACTCCAGCGCTGCAAGGCTCCCGCCTCAGGTTCAGCCGCCAGCACCGCTCTGAGAAAACTTAACCCGGGGGGGGGGATTTCCACATTCCCTTCCAAAAGGTCTTCTCCAGCCCACCCCTGTCTAGGTCTCTTTCAAAACTAAATATAATCTGATTATATTTGGGCCTGGTTGTTTATTTTCTTTGTCCTCTGGTCTTCCTGCTTGCTTTAGCTTCAGATGAGGTATGTTGTATACAAGTTCACCTGCTTTTCAGTCGTGAGTAAACACAGATTTCTCTCCCCAGTAAGACAGAGCGCTGTGTTGTTGGGCATTAGCCAAACATGACCAGGCTCCTGCCGGGGGTTTTTCTGCTCCGATTTATCCCCCGCCTGCCCGTGCTCCT